GGAAGAGAAGCTGTAAGCTGTTCTGGTGTCATGTTCTCTGGGTACAAAAGATCTGCAGGTCGCCGTCCAAATGCCATCTCCAATGGAGATACTCCACCAAAGGTAACCATGGAGTTTCTGGCAAGTGATGCTTGTCTGAGGAGTTGACGGTATGTGATCTCGTATCTAGATGGATCCTCAGTCACGGCCTTAAGCATCAGGGTGATCTGCTTTTTGTACACGCGAACAGCTGCTTCTGCTCTATTTGGCCATGGAGTACCAGGTCCTAAAGTAATCGGTCGGATATTCTTTCTGTTGTAAAAGGCCTCAAGTTCAGTACCCATGAAACCTTGATCACCGACAAGATACTTAGGCTTCAACTGGTATGTCTCAAAGTATTCCAAAAGATGGCCAATCGTTTCTGCTTCAGTCTTGCCGTTACATACGTAAGCAGTGGTCATAGAAGTAGCACCGTCATAGATAATCAGGAAGAGAAGTTTGGACTTGTCGTTGACAGCAAGTTCACCATGATCAACAAAGGTGAGTTCTCCAAATGTTTCACTCCTCATACCTGAAATTCTTGATCTTGATGGTGCAATCTTGGACTTCTGACATGTGTCACACTGCTTCACTACCTTTTCATACTCTTCATAGATCTTAGCAGGAATCTTCAAAGCTGATGTTCGTTTCTTGAACTGCTCAGTTGACATGTGGTAGTGCTTCAAATGCAGTTTCAAGAGCTCAGTTGGATGAGATAGCTTTTCATGGATTCTCTGCAATGCTAACGGCAATGTTACAGAAACCTTAGGAGCTTTCTTCTCTCGATGTACTGTTGTTGGTATTGGTTTCACGTCTTCCTTGGATTCTTCCTGAGGATCAGGCTTCACCGGCATGTCAGGTTCTGCTGGAGGTACGTCAGGCTTACCGGCTCCTGAGCTCGAACTTGGAATCTTCGAATGCTCAAATGGCGTACCAAAATCTGGTGACTTCTCTGTCTTCCGGTATGTCGGAGGTGTCACCTTCTTAGCCGGTGGAGGCATCGAAATGAGCTTCGATGGCGGATCGACTTTGGCATCTCCACTTGCAATGAGTTTATCTGGCTTCTTAGCCGGAATATCGGCTGCTGACTTGTCTTCCTTCACTTCGGATGTCTCTGCCTTCTTGCATCCATCCTTGTATGTGTGCTTGCGATGCTTTCTGCTGCAGGCAGGACAGGCTCCGTACGAAGGATTGATTGCAGTAAAACTGTGGTTTGGCTTACGAACTGAGCTGGCAAACATCATGATGTCTAGGACATTATGATTCGAAGTGCTCACTGGCAGGGAAAATCGCTTCAGACCGAACAAAGGACAAGTCAGATAGTCACCGACTGGAGTATGCTCAATAGACATGCGAAGGTTCCTGAGCTGCTCAACGCTGAAAAGGATTGGAACGTCGCCTTGGTCTAGAATATCTATCGCTGTTGTGATCCACCCTGTGGGTGACTGGTCGTTCTGAAAGTAGATTACCAGCTTCTCTCGGACATTGGACTGTTCACCGTTTGCAAATGAAAGAGAAATTAATCTTAGATGCATTGTAGTGTCTCTTACATGCCTTCACTAGACGCATGATGGCGGTCCTTGAACCCATTGCTCTGGTACAGCCGCTGTCAATGATCACGTAGGTCGGACTGTACCTCAAGTCGATGTATTCAGAAAGCAAAGCGTGGTGAAATCCATCGTCAAAGTTGACAAATGAAGAACAGAAGCGGGGATCAATCACTTCAGAACAACCGGAATGTCGGTAGTCTGTACTGCTACCGGCAGGGTTTAGGTGATACGGCTGTGAAACATGTTCTGCACCAGTCATTTCTTCTGCGTGTGTTCCGTAATACCGGAAATCTGCTGACTGGTTCATCTGGCCAGGCCTTGGCTCTGAGCTGTGGTGCTCTTCATCTTGCGGTCTGTCCGTCTGTCCGTCCGCAAAGTATGTCCATTGTTGCCAAGTGGCTTCATTTGCCTGCCAGACATCTTCAGGATAGTACTGGTCTGTGTGGTATCCATACGAGTCCCATGACCAATTTGCTTCATGTGCACTCCAGGTTTCTTCGGCATTAGTGGATGGTTGAGCTGATGAAGGCTCTTCGGTGGTTGCAACATTGGATTGTTGAAAGGGATTCTGTTGCTTGCTTTTTCCTTTGCCTTTGAACGCATCTTTTCCCTTGAATCCTTTCTTTCCACCTTTCTTTCCCTTCTTGCCTTTCCCATAGAAACCTGAGTTGTCAGGGTACTCTGCATAATGTGCCCCTGCACCTTTGCCTCTACGGCTGACAAAGCCGGGTCTTCTGCCTTTTCCGCGGCCTTTTCCTTTGCCGCCTTTGGATGGTTTTCTGAATCTTCTACCATGGATTCTTCTACGGGTGTATCCTCCTTTGGCTGCTAACACCCAAAATTCGGACTCTGAGAACAAACTCACAAATCCTTCTTCGCCTGTTTCTTGATCCATCACCCAGTATCCGGATTCTTCTTCCAAGTCTCCTTCATCGAGGACAAGGAAAGTGGATCTTCTTTGCCTGCGGATCGAAGGATCGGCAGTTCCTGTGGCGGTTCCGCAAAAGAGATCAAGGAATAAGCCTTTGACACCTAAGTATGTGTAGTTGTTCATGTTGATCTGACGCAAGGCCATGCTGGCTACAAACCTTTCTCTCTGCTGTTCGTTAAGATCCGACTGAACTAAGAAAATAAGTGACATCAGGTTGTCAGACAATGGAAAGGTGTCACGATGTGCTTGTTTCAAAGCATCAATGTGTTCAGAACGGATTCTTTCTGCGTTCTCTCTTCTTTCTGCGGGATCTTGAAGCCCTTGAAGTAGCATGTACTGCTGTTGCGAGAGGATATCAGTAAAGTTGAAATCATCAGGCTGTGGAACAGTCGAAAGATCTAACAAGCCCATGAAGGCTTCCATGACTTTCTTGCTAGCGACTTCAAAACGAGCGATCCAGCTTACAAATTCCCCGTTTCCGCGCCAGGTCCTGAAGAGCTGCATGAAACGCCAGAGAAAAACATGATTTGCTCCTTTGACAAAGTATGGTCGCAACGTCTCTTTGAAATACGTAATACCGTTTCTTTCATGACGAAGCTGTTCATTGTCGAGCATTTTCTTGTAGTATTCGGCGTTTCCGGTTAGAGCGTTCTTCAATGATGGGCCTAATTTTTCGGCGCTTAATGTGGTGATGTTCACCCAGTCATCAATCAAATCTTCAAACTCAAACCAAGATGACTGTCCATCGAATGACGGAGGAATCTTTGGCGTCATCTTGACACCTGCTGTTGGCTGTGCCTCGTACGTCCGGTATGTCGAACTCGAGGACCTTCCATGCTGTTGGCGATGACGCGAACCTTGAGCTGCAAAAGCTTCTTCTGGATCTGTTACGTCAGATAGGTCGCTGTCATGCTCTTCGTCCGTATCTATGTTAAAGATCTGGACCATGGTCTATTTGTTTGACAAGTGACTGACTTGGTTGTCCCCTGTCCGGAATATCGGACGATTCGGCTCGAAGGCAAAATCGACCAATGCGAAGCAGGAGACACAAGCTCCGCTACCACTTTGAGGGGTAAGTTCCCCCAGAAGTGGCAGTTGGAATAACTGGACCTGATCGAAACACCAAGCAGTCAAATACAAGCGGTCGGTGTGCGAGCTGCGGCGAAGCACACCTTTTCTATGGCAGTGAATGCAGTATTGGGCTGCTGAGTCTTGAGCCAAATGAATTATGTCGAAAGCGGACTGAAGAGCTACAGATAGATGTATGTACAAGAACAGGTGCTACACACGTATAGCGTAGACACGCCCAGGGGGACCTAGGACCCTACTAAACACAGGGGGAGGGGGAGGAGTCTGTATTGAGAAATCAATTCCAAGGGGGGCGGGGGGGGGGGGTCTGTATTGAGAATTGAGAAATCAATTCGAGGGGGGGGGTTGAATTGAAGAATCAATTATCAGATCCGGACGCGGCAACACTTGCTTCGCAAGACAAACTCAAGGTATCCCCTAAAGGGCTACCTTTCGTGATTATATGGAATTTATCAGGACAACCTAGATTTTATCAACCAATATCTGCTGGCAAACGACCAATTGCCGAACACCGGCCGACTTCGCTGAATAGTCAGGTAAGGCAAATTTGGTATTAATGTGATCATCAAACTTCATCATAAAGGGATTGTTTCCAGTTATTGCGTCCAAAATTTTATTTTGTTTTGAAATTTTTTACATATAACGTTTATTGAGGATATGAGAAAAATACCATACCAAGATTGTCAGAATCTGTTGATGCTGCGCCGCGCAGCCGGTATTGACCATGCAAAGTCATGAGTTGGCATGTGATGATGGTACTTTCAGTCACGCTCGCCGCCTCGAATCAGGTTTCAGAGCCTTGGCGAACTGAAAAGGCTGTGATCGACGGCAGCCGCTTTTTGCACTACTTCTTTGTTGGGGACTTTGCGAGCCCTATTCGCTGAACGACCCTCACCAACATTGATTGTCCATACGCGCTGGACATCGTCGGGCCAAAAACCAAAACCGAAAGAAAGCCTCACCGAGCCCACCCCCACCGAGGTAACCACAGCAGCGTTCTGGCCAGGAACGACTGCCGACTCCAATGACACAAAGTGGAGGAAGAGGTATACAATCTGGAGGAGTGCACCACAACGTCCTCCCTTCTCCCTTTGTTCAAGTCACTGGAGGGTGCCGACCTGTGAGCAGCAAACGAGGGAAGCCATAAAGCAACGGAGGTTCCAGACCTACAAGGACTGGAGTGGGTTTGCCTTTTTGGCATCCCTGTCCGCACGAGTACACCTCCCGACCTCACCACACCTCAACGAAACCCAACTTACCCGCTCCAGCTGCAGTCACCGTGATCACGGCTTGCAGCCAAAGTTGGCATCGCTACTAGCAGCAGCAGCCAGAAGAAACAAACGTAACAGGGTATAATACTGTGTTTGAACTGAACCAATTGAACCCCAAATCGGACTCGAAAAGGACGTGAAGAAACACAACGCACAACGCCATGTGCGACACAACTCAACCTCGTCCAGAAAACGAATGTTCATGAAAAATACAGCATCGCACCGCCGCTGTGCCGGTTTGGAAAGGTCAAACGACCATACACCACGAAAAAGAACAAAAAAGCAGCCTTAGGAAAGCTCCACCAAAGACTGCAGAAGCCAACATAGCAGCTTCAGCTGATTGTTTTACACTAGGAGCTCTCTGCTTGGAGGAAATCATGCACTTTCTATTTTGTTATCCAGCTCGGAGAAGGCAGGGTTTGGAATGGATGGGCTCAGTCAGCTCAAACGGTCTCGCCCTTCTCTGCAGCACCTCGAATAGGTGGCTCAGCCGATGCAATACTGTTTCTTTACTTACCGCTCGAGCCTCTGTTCATTCCTCATTTTGCTTAAGAAGGATCTTGAAGGGATGCCTTGGGGCCAAACAGGGCACTTTGATCTGTTGAGTGGCAGGCATCAAACATTACTCTTCTTGTATTTTCTTGCTTCGTCTGAAAGGCAAACGCTCGAACTTTCAGCACCGCCGATGAGCACGATCCCTTCTCTTCGACTTCGCACCCGCTCGACTGACCGACTCCTTGGCCTCCTGACGCCTGTCTGCCGCCTCAACGGCTCGCTTCACATCCGCCCTCATCTTGTCCACCGTGTTCACGTCCACCCTGAAAAACGCAACGGAAAGGAGGTTCAAGCAGGAGACGATTCGGATCCAAAGCGCATGGGTTGTAGTGGATTCATATCCCTTCTTGTGTTTGAAGAGGCAAAACAAACATCTGCACGTATCTGCACGATCGGCAGACTAAACTAAACATATCACCAACGGCGTGCCAACGCCGGGCGCTCCGAGAATCGCTTCGCCTCTGGCGTTTGAGACGGAACGCCACTTTGGCGAAGATGGGATCGCGCATGAGGCCCTTGAGGCGCTTGGCCTGGCGCATTTCACATCGCCACGAACGGAGCAAGGATGCCAAATAGTGGCTCCTGGCCTTACTACTAGTTACAAGGACGCTACTAGGGGCTCCTGGCCCAATCGGCCGATCACTTTGACTCCCCAACGCCCGGGGCGTGTCACGTCGGACGTGACGTCTGGGCCACCCGAACCGGCAGCCCAGTGCCAGCGCACTTCTGACAGACCCGCTCGCCCACACCATTGCATTCAGGACCTGTGGAGTCGACGCTAACAAGAAGCTACTAGGAGCAGTCTTTGAAGCTACTAGGAGCAAGAAGCTATTAGGAACAAATGGCCTCCAACCTAAGAGCGATTGCATTCAGGACCTGTGGAGTCGATGAAGCTGGGGTATGGGATGGGTACCGGGTACATCCTGTACACCCAGTGCCGAAAAAGTCCGCAAGGCAGCCAGAACTCTTGCTCAGTTGGGGTAGTTGGGCAGTAGACCTGAAATCACAGGAACCATTCTCTTCTTCCAAGCTGGGGACGACTTGCGAGATTCCACGGCTGCTTAAAGAGCTGAACATGCCAGGAGCCGTGTGTCCAAGCTGTTTTCTTTTCGGTTCAGAAAGAGAGGAAAAGGAACTGGAAACAGTGACTTCTTCGGTAGAGTGGCTGTGCAAGGACAAGATGATGAATCCATGTCCGCCTCAGTCAAAAGAAACCAAGCAAAGCTGACACATGGCAGGGCTCCCGGCAGGTTACGAACTGCTTCACTGGCATGCCTTCAGCGGCGAACGTTGCAGGAAATTTTGAGATAATCTTTTGGCCCACGAGCCTCTGAACATGAGAGAGGATAGTCATCTGCCTCCTTTCTTGTGGGTGTTCCATGAACATTGGAGGGTGATCGAGAAAGCCAGACCCTGGGCAGATCGATCGAAGTCTTCACTTTTTCAACCATCTCTCTGTCCAGGTGTCTCACCCGAACACTTCAGGCGGAAACAAGTCAAAAAGCAAGTCTTTTTGCTTCATCAGTTGGAGGCCATCGCTAATAGGGTTCATCAGAAAGATTACTTCTAGAGCAAAAGTCAGTTTTGTTTGCCTCGGCAGGCGATGCAACCCCTGGACTCCAGCCCCCTTCTTCAGACTTGTCTGAAACTCCTCTGGGTGTCAAACGCTCGCTGTCGGTGCCCCACCTGAGCCACGGCTGAGGCAAAGATCCTTGAGATTGCCTAGTCCCGTTCTTGCTCCTAGTAGCGATGCCCTTTGCTCCTAGTAGCGTCCTAGTAGGCTGAGGACAAGGATCCAATTAAGGAACATGCTGCATAGCATTGCCTAGCCATCTCAAGGGAGGATCTTCATTACATGGCCAACATTGTTGACATGTTAACAAATGCCAACGGCCTTTTCCATTGCTAACATCAATTAACCACACAGTAATCCGATGGTGAGCCTATCTCTTCATCAATTTCATCCATCTCCCGTTCTGGCTGTAACTGGTGTGCAGCCAACCACCAGCAAACCTTTGAGTTGAGTTTGACAAAATGGGTTCAACTGGTGCGCCTGAATGATCTGCTTTGGAGGTATATAATGACATGAACGTCAAAGTTGAATGAAATGATCTTGCTTTACTAGCCTGGAATTTTCAGGTGGCTTCAAGTATCCACAGCCTTTCAAAGGCCTCAAAATCCCATAGCTGGACACATTCTGCCGTATTCTCCCTCTTTCAGACCAAACCTCACCGAGGCTCGGTTTCTCAATGCTGACGAGAGAACTCTTCCTAAACGTTTGATGGAACATGAACAAAAGAAGTACGACAAAGCAGGGCTAGTGTGACCCCCCCTCCTGCACAAAACCAAAGGACTTCACTCCTAACTCAACTAGGTTGGAGGCCATCGCTACTAGGGCGGAGGCCATAGAGGCAGAACGCTACCTAGGGGTCCGCACGTCCGGAACTGGCCAGTGCCCTCGCACATGGCGCCTCAGAGGGGCATGGCTTGGAAGAAAAAACGTGCTTGGCCAGAAAGTAAGCTTGTGCAAGTGGTTCGTTTGCAAGTAAGACTGAAATCTGAGACTTAACGCCTTGTTGGACGTATTTCTTGTTGGCAATAGTTTTTCGTCCAAGGCAAAAAGGAATCAAGTGTCAGGCTCTGGGATCTTTGATGTAGCCTCGTCCTGACTGAATCCCAAAATCAGAGCAGCCTTTCAAAGGCTTCCATGGCCACGACTGAAACCACCGTCGAAGGCCCAGTCCAAAGCAGCGATGCCCCTGAGCCGGCACCCTCACGCTCAGGCCCCCGACAGGCAACAAGCCCGCTGGATTCCTGAAGAAATAACAAGACACGACGTCTTTTCGCGAGGAACTTGGGAGGAAGTCCTTTTGAGACTAAGAGACTTTGGCCTTCAATTCCAAGACCTTTCGTGAATCTCTTGGTGAAATTCAGCTTGCAAAGTAGGAGATCACTTGATTTACAACTTTTTGGATCAAGCACCCAAATGGGATGGACTTGAAGTCTGGAAAGGCATGTCCAGGCTCCCGTTCCAACGCTATGGGAAACAAATGGATTCACACATTCCACTGAGCTGGATTTCTATGTTGCTCTCAAAAACAGAAAACAATTGACATACATCGCTACCAGGTTGGAGGCCATGACTACGAGTAGCAAGAAGCTATTGAGTTGGAGGCCATTGACGAAGGCCTTGAGGCCTCAAAGGCGTTGAGACCTCTTGAGACCTCACGTCTATTTCTTGTTTCTAACAGCTTCTTGCTCCTAGTAGTATGGCCAGAATCCCTAGTAGCGTCCTTGCTCCTAGTAGTATGGCCAGGAGCGCCTAGTAGCGTCCTTGCTCCTAGTAGTATGGCCAGGAGCACCTAGTAGCGTCCTTGCCCCTAGTTTCTTTTTGCCTGTGAGTCTATACGGAAGTGGAGGTCGTCACCCTTGTGCACCACGAATCATGAACAGCATTTGGAGCTTGCGCCAGAAGAATACATTCTTTCATTGTGCTTTCTTCTTTAGATCTTCAGAATCTTATTGAATCCTTTAGACTTTTCTCTTTTTCTTTCCTTTCTTTTTATTTTTTGTTATATTATTCTTCTTTCTTAAGACATTTACACCTTTCTTCTCTGGTTTACTTTCCAAAAAATACCTTAACAATCTTAAACATGTTCGCCATCCTGTCCGCCAGACCCTGGGCCCCGGGCACACTCTGCGCACCCCGTGTCGTCCACTTTCATGTCCAACTGCCGAGGACGGACCCGTCGCCGAACGGCGCCGCTGCGGGTGGAGGCCAACCGAACGAGGAGCCCCTAGTAGCGTCCTTGCTCCTAGTAGCGATGCACTTGTTTCTACTAGCTTCTTGTTGCTACTAGTAAGGCACTTGTTACTAGTAGCGATGCACTTGTTCCTACTAGCTTCTTGTTACTAGTAGTAAGGCCCTTGTTCCTAGTAGCGATGCCAGGAGCCCTTAGTAGCGATGCACTTGATACTAGTAGCGATGCCCTTTGTTACTAGTAGCGAACATCGCTCCTAGTAGTAAGGCCAGGAGCCCCTAATAGCTTCTTGTTACTAGTAGCGTCCTTTCAAACCATGTAGTTTTCATCCTTAGAATTCCTTTTCGACATAATTTGGTTGCTTCATTCTTTCAGGTTCCAGCGGGGAAATGGATGGACTTGATTCGTCCAGAGGACCGCATGGACTTGCTAGATCATATGTCGTGTCGGAGACCGCATCAGATCACTCGAAACCTTGGATCTTTTCGAAAAGCGTAGCTTTGCGGTTCCATCCAAGATGTTTCTCGGAGGAACATATACAAAGATCTTGTCGCTTGATGTTTAGCTGCTCGTCTCGGAGGCGGATTTGGGTCAATTGAATTTGTTTCCTTTCACAGCCGTCCTAATCGAACATCCAATGACCCACAGTCGGGCTGACGGACTTGAGACCGCACTCCAGTCTCTACTGCTGAGGGCATGCCCGAGAAACCGCACGCCCTCGTGTTTGTGTATATGTACATATAGAATATTATATAGACATGCGAAGCACACGGGCGCAAGTACCCCTCGGAAGGAACTGTTTCTGTCCTTGCTAGGTGGGGCGCTTGAGTCGAGACGAGATCACCGGGAACGAGTGAGTTCGTGACCCTTGAATGCAAATTCTGCACGGGTCCATACTATTAAAAAATTCTAGTGCCACTTTCAATCAAGAGGTCCTTTCCCATCTTGTTTTCTCTTTCGACCAGAAACCAGGGACTCATCGTAAACGATCCGCCACCTACCACTTCGTTCATTGAACATGTGAATCTGATGAGGTTCATTGTCTTTGGTCAGGCTATTTGACAACTGACTTTCTCCGTTCACCCACCGCAGGTGAACCTGGTTGGCGTTCAGGGCCTCTTTCAAGCACAGGGTTTCAATGTCACTTCGCTTTTCAGCACCTCCTAGGGTCAAGATGGTGGAAGAAAGTCGATCGTACAGGTTACGACTGTCACTCACGAGGGCACCTGGGACCTTATTGACCGTTTCATCAGGGGACCATTCATTTCCATGGTGACCAAGGAATTCAGCCATCTGGAATCGAAGTGCATACATCTGGTCTTCCCCGTCCACAGCAGCTCGTGTTTCTGCTGATGCGCTCGAACGACAGACCCTCGAAATTTTCGAGGAACACCAAAAGATGGGGTTGACTTGTGAGAGTTCTCCTTGAAGGATCCTGGAATCTGTACATCCAATCAACACTCCCTTGGTGCTGCTCAAATCAGGCCTGTTGCCATAGGCAGCGTCAACCCAAGTTGTCAACATAAGATCATCTTTATTCAAGGTATGTATGATCATGCATTGCCCTTGCCTGGCCTTAGCCTTCTTAAGAAGCTTGTTTGCTTCGAGAAGGTCGGTCACCTGGGCCTTGGGCACTTTCGAAAGGAGAAGGCCTGTAGGGGCACTAAGTTCCATTGCTAGTTGCCCTGCATGCCATGCTAAACATCCAAGAACACTTCTCATCTGTTTTTGTTCTTCGGGAGATGCGGAAGCTTCAAGGTCTTTGCTTCTCTGTTTTGGTATGTAGATCTCTGACACTTGCTCCAGGAATTCTGGTTGTGAGACCTTGAAGGAGAAGTCTTCTCGTTGTTCAATGTTCACACCACACTGTACGAACTTCCCCTTCTCCCACTCTCCAAATTTGAACCGAGTAGTGATTGCTGATTTCACATGTTGCCAGCGCAAGTCGGTCTCGTCACCTCCAAACAAGAAGTCGTCGACGTGCGAGCAGATCCACGCTATAGGGCTCTGACTTTGATCAAAGAGTCCCCAGCAGCAGGGGTCGGCCTTTTGTCGAATGAATCCTTGTTGTTCCAGAAACTCATCCACTGACAAGTAGAATTCCAGTGGGGCTTGGACTAGGCCGTATGCTGCTTTGGCAAGTCTTGTGATCGAACCTTCAGGTAGGTTCATAGCTTCAGCAATTTCCTTGAGTGGTTCAATGAAGAGTTGGTCTTGAAATTCACGGCCCTGAAGGAAGGCGCCGGAGATATCTCCCTTTTCCACTCGGAAGTGGTGGGCCGCGCAGAGTGTCAAAAACAACTGCCTTGTACTTTTGTTCATCGTTGGGCTCGCCGTGGGGCGAGTCTCATACAGCGGGTCTTGATAACCCAGTATGACTGCACGTGCCTTCGCTTTCTTCTGGTCGGGATTCTCCTTGTCGCATTTCCATGTCAGTATCCAGCGCATTTTCAACACCTGGCTGGCATCTGGCTTCATGTGGTCAGGGATCTTCTTGAAGACCTCCGCAAGGATGTAGTTTTTCACTTCTTTCTGTTTTGCCTGTCTAAACTGTTCTAGCTCTGTTGGTGACAGTCTTCGTTCGGATACCTCCACATGGTTCTTGCGGCTTTGACTGATCACAAACGCTGCCAGGTCGCGAAGCCAATGTTTTTTTTTCCTGTTTGCCTTGTCTGGCATGTCGATAGCAATTTGAATGCTACCATGTTCATCTTCCAGGAATGTTGCTGGTGTCTCTGACGCTAGTGCGATCAAGCTTTCATCACCTTCAGTCATCTGCTGATCGAGAGCTTCACGTCGATGGTGTTTTGCTGGTGGTTGTTCCGGTTCTGGTCCTTTCCGCCGATGTCTAAAGCGAGGAGGTGGTGGTGCTCCTGGTTGGTCAGGGATGATCTCTGGATCGTCATCTTCCTCCCAATCCAGTGGTGGTTCAACCTTGGTCAAATCCTCAAAGGTTTTGTTTTTACTCTGTTCCAGGATGCTGGTCACCGTCCATGGAAGAGGTTGGTCCTCTTTCAACTCAGCCCATGCTTCTTCCCGTTCGCTTGCATGCCTTAAGAGCTGGGGGGTGGCCTTGAGCAACTTGGTTCCACGGAAAATCCAAATATTTTGACCCGGTGTTCGTTCTCCGGTCTCCGACAGTTTGGTCTCGGTGGCCAACACACGAGCGGGACCTATGAACCCACCTTTCTTGAACCCTTGACCTTTCACCTCATGACCATGACCAGCGAGTTGTTTTCTCCAATAAAGCACAAGGTCACCTGGTTTGTAGGTGTTTTGAACCCTACTTCCGGAGGCCTGTGCCCTGGAAAGCCTATGTTTGTATTGTTCTTCAATGAAGGATTCCTCAGCAATTTTCATGGCTTTGTTGTCTTCTCCAAACTCGGCGGTCACACCTCTTTCGGTGATCAGCGGAACCTCGTCACATCCTCTGTCATGAATACATCCATCTTCACATGGGTTCCTACCAAGAACATGTTGAAGGGGGGAGAATCCAAGGTATTGGTCCCGAGAGTTCTGCGCCCAGAGCGATCGACAAAACACTTCTCGACACGACATCTCCGGGCACTCCGAAGCGAGTTTTGACATCATGTTTTTGGTGGTTTGGATCGCTCGTTCAACATGAGGGATCTTCCAATGGGCTTCGGCAGGAATCTGTTCATTGACAATCTTTTGATTCAACAAGTACTGGTCCAGGCGTTCACTTCTGAAAGGTCCAGCGGGGTCCATCCTAATGCAAGCGGGGTTTCCGAAAACCGGCTTCCAATACTCCTCCAAAAAGGTAATCAGGTCTTCACCTGACATGCTGATCTTCTTACCGGGTTTCAGGATCATCCCCCGTCGGAATCGGCTTCCCTCATCAATCCCCAAAAGGAAGTGGAAGTTCTCTTTGGTCTCAGGATGACTCCATGACCCTCCATCCACCTGAACGCGGGCCCATTTAGGTGGGATGTCTTCCAGGGAACCCTGAACTCTTGGTTTCGAGACGACATGTTCTTCGCAGGTCGAACAGCGGAAGTTTTTCGCAAGTTCAATGGTCTCATGGTCCGCGTTTCTCCTTTTGAGGGCCTTCACCAAGTAATCCCTACTGCAATGACCCGTGGCGGCGTGGATTCGACGAAGCACGCGAAGGACCGACGATTTTCGATCCGGCGACATGGAAAAAGCTTCTTCGATCCCTTTTTGAACCTGGTTGGAATTGTCATGACCATTGCTCATGTTCATGTCTCCAAAAAGGTTCATTCCATCTTTGAGTTCTTGGGTGACATGTTTGCAAAGATCATCCCTCTTCATGACATTCACAACCCTTTTGCAAAAGGTGGGCGTATAGAAGGCAGTTTGTCGGCATCTCTTTTGTCCCTCACATTTTCCATGAACATGGTCTCCACTACACTTAAGGGTCATATGGTGTATGATTCCTTTCGCCGTTCCCAACAACCTCCACCCTTTTCCCAAGAGCTCCCTTTGTTCATTTCTGAGGCCTACTTGACATCCTTTGCAGACCCCCGACACACACGGGACTCTGTTTTGCAAAATGGAAAAGGGGGTTTCGTTCCACCCCTCACATCTCTCCGAGAGTTCAATGATGAAGGGGATATTTTCTTTGTGGGCTTCCTCCGCAATTTCACAACACCCTTTGTACTGCTGACGCGCACGGGCACGTTTTTCCGCAAGGTCTTGTCGTTGTTTCTCAGTTTTCATATTGAGATGTTGCATGGGAGAAAAAGGTCCACACTCTGGTGACAACCACACAAGACCAGGTCGAGTCTCCTTCATAACACGAATGATGTGCTGAGTGCCGGCCTTTGTTTCCACATCCCCACCATTGTAGGCGGAGAGTCGTCGTGCGCTCCCGTCGCCAAACACTCTGTTACATGTGTTGGAGAGTTCACTTTCGGGGTCACAACACACCTCCAACAACCTCAACCGATCCCCATAGGCCACCTGACACCAGTCACTCTCAAAACCACGAGAAAGACCAAACAAAATGTCCTTTTTGTGGTGTTCCCCCAAATCATGAATCTCTCCCCCATATTCAGAGGTCAAATGCGCTCGAGATTGATCCTCTCTCACTCGCCGAACTCCGTCTCCTGTCCCTTCTTGCGGGTCTTGGCCAGTTCGTCGTCCTTCTTGGATGAGCTCTTGCTGACCATCGCCTTTTGACGTTGGAGTTCGTGGATCTGGGCTTCGAGCTGTTCCACCATCTCGTCCGCCTCCCGTTCGGATGAGGAGGTGTCCATGGGGATCTTGACGAATGTCCCGTCGGTGGAACTGGAAAATGAGGGCTCTTCGATGCGGTGAGGACGGAGGAAGGCTTTCGCCTTCGCTGTTCCCCCACTGCTCATGATTGGGTATCCCTTCTTCATGCCGCTTGTCTTCCCTGTCTCCTTCTGCTGGTCGATCCACTTGAGATAGCGGGTCATCTGCCAGCAGGTGGTCTCCTCGAGGGATGTCTGGCGGCACCGCCCAGTGTAGTCTGGGTGTTGTTCCTGGACTTCCTGGTAAGTCAGTGGAGCAAACTTGCCGAATCCCATCACGTCGGTTGCCAGCGGGGGCTTGTTCTCCATGATCGCCTGGTTTCCCAGAGAGAGGAGTCGACTGATGGTTTCGTTGCCCGTGATCGTAATTCCCAGTTTCTGAGTCAGGAACACCTGCAAATCGTGTTTCTTCTTGGCGGCTTTGTTCATTTCCTTCAGCAAGTCGTCGTGGACTTTGGCCTCGGGATTTTGGTCCTTGAGCTCCACTAGACGAGCTTCCAGCTGGTTCTTGCGCCATGAATCTGGGGGTGTCTCCCCGAACTCCTTGATCTTCTGGCGGAGGACTTCTTTGGTCATGCCGGGCATCTTGACACGAGGTAAGGGATGTACTACTGGGGTTCAGGCTTTGAGTGAGGTTCAAAACTGGAACGGTAGGGGAATGTGTTGTTCCATGGGTGGTTGATGAGGCCTCGGTTGTTTGACAGGTGGCTTCACGTTTCCGGGTTTGTCCTGAATGACATCAACAGCAAACACTGAGGATTGAAAGTGGCACTTACTTGATCTGACTACTTGTCCCTCCCAAGGCTGGTCAGCTGTTCCATTTTGCCTTGGAAGGAGTTGTCCCTATTCGGGATCACGTGACTCAAGCAAGCCATAGAAGGGCTTTTCCCTTCGATGGCTATCTCTATACACATCGGAGGTCAATGGAAAAACCTGGTGGCCGCTTGAGGTTGTTTCCAACGACAGCACGCGGTGTGGGTCAACGCGTTTCAACAACATCTGGTTCTTCTCATAGTCAATCACAGCTCCAAGGCTTCGCAGTGAAGCGATGCTCAAAAGGATGGGCTGATTGGGGATGTCATGTACGTGCACCTTCATGGTGCTCATTCCTCCATGCAGCGGAACTGGCAGCTGGGCGGTGGACAGGCAAACTGTCCGGCCGTTGTTCCCAAATCGAAAGCTCGGGCGTTCCGAGGGATCGACTTGGATGTCACGACTCCTCCCTTGTCCCGCATTGATGTCGTTGATGTGGGTCAAAGCATCCACACTGCCCACTGTAGAAGTGGCCCCAGGATCGATGATAGCTTTGCCTGCCTCCAGAAGCGAACCCATCGCTAGGTTGGCAGACTCTTCAAAAACTCCTGATGTGTCTGATGGTGGTGTAGCCTTGACTCAATTGTATCACCTGAAGCGGTCGCCGTAAAGGTGAAATGCACTGCTTGTTGACTGCCTTGTTGTTCTTCCCGTTTGGGACAGGCATCTGTCCGGTGAGTTCCCCCACATCGGAAGCACTTCCGATCTGAGGTCATTCTTTCTGTTTTCCACTTGACAGTGCTCTCCCGCTTCATGGGGTAGAATTGTCGGCTCTTTCGCATCATGGATTGTTTCTCACGAGCGTCTCGGAGGGTCCTCCGGGCACCTTGTATTGCGGCCAGTGCTTCTTCTGATTCTTGTGTGAGGTAGTTGTACTCTTCAATCTCTTCTTCGGTCATCCACGTTGGCGCCGGCGGTGGCATACCTTCATGCAGGAAGGCTTCATCTTCTTCATAGTCTTCTGCAATGAGGGCTGATCCGCGGGTCTGATCCCGCTTCCTGAGGTCCTCCTCAGTCCAATTCAGCTTGAGAGCTTCCTTCACTTTCTCGGTGGTGAAATGGTTCTTCAAGCTGGCGATGATGGTGGCACGTTCCGACCCGTCCAGGCCTGAGCGTTGCAGCAGCATCCACGCCACGACAAAATCTGGCAAGAACTTTTCAGCTTCAACCGATGCATGATCTGAAACGTCGGCTTGGTAGATGTTCTCGCTTGTCATGTAGTGTGCATTGCCTTTCTCCCATGACCTTTGGTCATTCCAATAGTGATAGCTGTTGGGTTGATCCCACCAGCCATCATTGGACCACCACTGAGGTCGATGCCACTGTAGTTCTTCTTGTTGGGCTTCATCTGTGGTTTCACCTAACTCGGCGTCAGGCCGTGTTGGATCGGATTCTCGAGGACTGTGGAACCCTGGTTCCTCATCTCCTTGATGAGGAGCTGCTGCACTCTGATGTGATCTGGTCTGGCTCGCTGATGACCTAAAAGCTGATGGCCTTCGGGTTGAATATCCCTTTCCATATTCTTCGATGGCCTCTGCTAGTGTCCTTCGAGCCTCATAGAGAGCTTCATCATGCCTGACAATCCAGGCGTTCATACACTCTCCCTTTCGTCGTTTCACCTGGTAGAAGAATTTGGAGATCGTCTTGCCTGCTTCTGCCAAGGTCGGAGCTTGTACTCGTGTTCGTAGGAAAGCCAGCAACTCGTGAGCGCCCCACTCATGAGAAATCCACCCCGGTGATTTGTGCTGGACTGCGGTCTTGGCGGCTCCTTCCAAGACAGATTGGAGTCTTGGACCAGCAAGCGGTCTCTTCTTCCATTCCAGTGTCTCCACGTAGTTCAGTGCAGCTCTTTTGTATGGTATGTAGAGGTCGGACGACCCGTCAAAGATGGGAACCCCATCCTTGCTGTACCTAAGTTCAGCCATGCTTGTAGCCAGCGACTATGGATCTCTTCCAAAACGATGTCCCTGGATCTTCGCCCGGCTCCCTTCTTTCTAGAAGGAGCCGGGCTCCGCTACCATGCGAAGCACACGGGCGCAAGTACCCCTCGGAAGGAACTGTTTCTGTCCTTGCTAGGTGGGGCGCTTGAGTCGAGACGAGATCACCGGGAACGAGTGAGTTCGTGACCCTTGAATGCAAATTCTGCATAGACATATATAGATGTAGACATAGATATTTGATATACATCCCTTTCTGCGATGAGATGAAGTGCTTTGTCAGCCATGCTTTGGCAAACTCTCACACTTCGAAGAAAACCACACAGCAAAGGCGAAGCCCTTGATCTTCTATTGAAATCACATAAGAACCTCTGTGATCTTGATGCCTTAGCAAACTCCTCGCGTTGGCTGAACTGCCTAAAGCTGTCAGCTTGAAACTCAGTAGAATGTCACCACGGGCCGCAACAAAGCATGCTTTCCCAAACCATCCATGGGACTGCAAAAGGAAAACCTACAGGGGCAATCAGGGGCATAAGGTCATGAGCTCATGGGATTTATGTCACGGCAATGGACCAAAGGCACGGACCGTCTTCGCGAACAAGACGACTGGCACGCTTCTTGGTTCCCTCCTTTTTCACTATTAGTAACTGCGCCAGTAACACAATCGCTATTAGGTTCCCTCCCGGTTCCCTCCCAGTTCCCACCGTGGCATATCCTTCCAACGCCGGCGCGGCACGTGCCGCAGCGGCTCCACAGGCCTCGCAGCAGCGAGTGAGCTGGGCGTTTGAACTAAACAGAACAAGATCAGAAAAAAGGACACATCACACTATTAATTACTAGTAAAACTGAAACACCACTGTAATGGACTGAATTAGACAAATGTTCATGTCTTTTGGAAGCTTTAAGTCAAGCTCTCTTTCCTCGCTTGCGGGGTGGGTGACGCTGGCTTGGGGGGGCCCCAGGACAAATTTAGAACACCAGGGTGTGCCTTTCGAATGCTGCGAACTTGATTTGGAATCGAGGGCCAGATTGGTGAGCATTCCAGAATGTGAGAAGCTCCTGTGAAGAACAATGGAGACCTGTTATCAGCACTCCACCCACTGCGTTCGACAGAACACACACCGCGCCGTACCAACGGCCGGGAAGCTGAGAGCAGTCCTTCGGGTCACCTGGCTGCGAGCGAAGGTTGATACATTTTTTGCCGACGTGAAGCAAATCAAGTGAAGCAAACACGTAGTGTTTCGGTGTTTTTCATTCTTTTTCCTCACACGGAAACGTCATCTCAAAATGACGGGCGGTTCTCTGACCCTGCGAGTGCCTTTGGTCCCACATGCTTGGAGTGACTGGATCTGTGCATCGGTCCAATCCCAAATTTGGTTTGTGCAAACAAGCGGAGACCGAGTAGCTAGAAGCTACTAGGTTGGAGGCCATCGCTAGTAACAAGGACCGTTCTGTTTTTGACTCCCTGACGTAAAAAGGACAGACTCTTTTTCGGCCACGCGAACCAATCTGACTAGTGAAGTCTGTTTGGCATCGCTTTCGGGCCCCCGAACTCCTGGAGATCCCTCGTTTCACGTGTCTGCTGCGCCGCAGCTTTTAGCTTCTCGAGTGCCCAGGCAAGGCGCTTAACCAACCGAGGCTACATGGTGGGGTGCGCGCTCTGCACTTATTTTGGTTTCTCAACCGAAGCGGAAGCACAAGCCAGTCACGTGGCTGATAAATAACCGGAGGTACGGATGTGCAGATGCTCCGGACGCACGGTGACTGGAAGCCAAGTCAGGACGGCTACAGTCCCTGGGGAACCCTAGGCCTGATTGGAGACATTGTTATGTAGGTGCGTCCAAGTACCCTCTGAGAAGGTACGACTGGATCCCTAGGGTACTGACTCCATTGGTTTGTTGTTGCTCTTCTCCCGACACCGTCGACTCAAAGGAACATCAAGTAGTAGCCTATCAAGTCTGACACTAACAAGGTTCGCTACTAGGAACAAGTGCATCGCTACTAGGAACAGGTACCTTACTAGTAGTAACAAGAAGCTAGTAATAAATATACGTTTAATTAGAATTCTAATAGCTTTTTGTTACTACTAGTAAGGCACTTGTTACTAGTAGCGATGCACCTGTTACTAGTAGTAGACTCCTCGTCGGTCTTTCGCCGTGGAGTCGGACGTGTCTGACGCGGGCGCCTGCCAAAAGTTCTGGGGCTCGTCGGACTCCGCGGACTCCTGGGAACGCACTGTGGAGCCCCTAGTATATAACGCTCTTGTTCCTAGTAGCGATACACTTTTTTCTACTAGCTTCTTGTTACTAGTAGTAAGGCCCTTGTTCCTAGTAGCGATGCCAGGAGCCCCTAGTAGCGTCCTTGTTCCTAGTAGCGATGCCAGGAGCCCCTGGTAGCAGTGGATGTCCGTTGACAGGAAGAAGATGCGATTCCGACAGGTGTGCTCAGTTCGTCAGTTCTGCGGCAATGGGAAATGGTGGCACGCATGTGTAGGGCAAGAACTGGTAAATTGATTCATGAACTCAACCAAGTGATCCACTATGGCACACTGAGGTCCCACCACTTATACCGGAAATAACAAGGCCCCGCTTCCAAAAGTGCCATTCACTGCTTGCCCCAGCTCCTTGGCTTTAGCCTTTCGTTGAGTGGCCCTGCGAGAGACAGCTACCTTAGCTATTGCCGACTTGCCCAAGCACCCGGGGCACAGCTAGTTCAGCTTCTCAACATTTCTCGCTCTTACGTAGGTTGCAGGCCAGTTGGAGGCCATCGCTCTTAGGTTGGAGGCCATGTTGTTACCACTTCTCGCTCTCACTATAAATCAAATGCGTAAAATCCGAAACTGGTGATTCCTCAAGGGTTCCTTGGTTCCTTCTGCCTTCTGCATGCTTCTAAGCTTAGAAATCACACCACCTCAGGGGCTTTGGCTTTTACGGTTCTGCTTAGCCTTACGCGGCAACCGGATCCGTGAATCGGTGAAGCTGTACGTACGAGAGACAAGGCAAAGCAAGGCATGCAGAACCTGTCGCGTGGTCCATTTGGTGCCTACTTTGGGTGCCTATCTTTGTTTTCCTTTAAAACATCTCTTTCTGTTTCCTTCCTTAGGACTGGGGACTCTTTGGCACGCACACCATTCTTTACAATCTCAGTACTTTCTTTCTCATGGTCTGAGCCTTTACTCCGTCCTGCTTCCCCCATGACGTCTTTGTTCTTCCCACCGAGACGTTTACACCAGTTCAAACCGAGCAGCTGCGGCCACGGCGGCACAAAAGGTGGCAACTCGGGTCTGTTCGAAGGCCTGGCAACTCATTTTTGGTGACGTGTGCCGGGGTTTTGGCCTCATCGCGTTTCTAGTTCCATAAAATCCAAGCCTTTCTCTAGAACGTGCTCAGCCTCAAAAAAGTTGCATCAACCTGCGCTTGCTGCACAAACGGGTACTTTTGTTCCCCCCCAAGAACCACCAACAGTCTCCACATGCCAAGACTCATCAATTCCTTCTTTTTACGGCGCGGACCCCGTGCAGGTGCCTGACTCTTCACGGGCTTTGCCTGTGCAGCCTTCAGCTGATGTGCCTGACAAGTGGACCCGACGATCACATCGGCAGGTCGGCCGAGTTGCTTCTCTGGGCCGAAAGTTGTGCTCTTCCATGGCTATTCTAGGAGCAAGAAGCTACTAGGAACAAGTGCCACGCTAGTAGTAACAAGTGCCTTACTAGTAGTAACAAGAAGCTACTAGGGGCGCCTATTCTCTTTAACAGGCCTTTTGCTAGGTGGGAATGATAGCTTATGAACATCGATGAGGAATGAATGGTGAGAAGGAGAAGGACTTAGTCGATCCTGAAATCCTAAGAAGGCAGCGATGGCTGCAACCATCAAGTCCCCAAAATGACTTAGACAGAAATGGGTGCACATATTCTGGAAATGCATCTGAATGAATCTACCCTCTTGCTCTGCACAACCTGCATTGATATGGGAACTTGCCGCTTTGTCGAAGCAACAGTATTCTCTAGCTATTTCAACAAAACACTCATGAATGCTGGCTGACACATGCCCACTCACTAGGCAGCCAAGGACACCCGCGATGGACCGAAGCCATAATTCCCACACCATACCAGCATCCATGTATGCAACATACATATGATACTATTTACACCACTTCTGACCCTAATGCAGGGAACTATTCCAGTCCCGTAGTCCCATGGATGGTTTGGGATTTGACAAACTTTTCAATCGGAAGCCCAGCTACGAGCTGAATCGAATCATTCATGACGATGAACATCTTTCTTCTTGGTGGGCAAGAAGCTACTAGGGGCTCCTGGCCTTACTACTAGGAGCAAGGACGCTACTGGACTTCTGCATAGGACAGGTGTGCCGTCACACGAGGAAATCCCGAACATCCACCGGCATCCGCCTCGTGAAACAAACACGGTCGGAAACGGTCAGAACTCCTAGTAGCTTCTTGTTTCTACTAAAGCTTCTTGTTACTACTAGTAAGGCACTTGTTACTAGTAGCGATGCACTTGTTCCTAGTAGCGAACCTTGTTACTACTCTCCGTAAAGCACCAACTTCTTCGTATCTGCGAGTCTTGGATGTTCGAGTCCAAGCAGTTCTAAAGAAAAAGGGAAGGTAGAAGCGCTATCCAAAACAACCAGGGACCACATCGCTCTATAGCAAACGGCACCTCAACCAAGTTGAAGGAGGCCATCGCTATTAGGCTATTAGGTTGGAGGCCATCGCCACTAGGACACTATGTGAATCTTGTTCTGTCCACAAGGTCCACCGGGGCACTGCCGCCCACAAGCCGCCTCTCCAATGCCAGGGGCGATTGCGGGCACAAACGCTGGCCCGACCTCAGATAGCGCAAGAACCTTAGGGGTATGAGAAATCCGACATGGAATGCCCAAACCAGTGGTTTGCAGAAGGTCTCATTCTTTTTTTCTGTTTCTTGATGAGGGTCTTTGCTGTAACAGCTCTGCTTTGGCTGATACAAGAATCTGTCCCAAAATGGCACTCAATTCTTGGTCTTGAACACACCATTCTACTATCTATTGAATAGTAATGATGCATCCGACATTATTTGTTTTTCAGTTGACTTCCCAGGTCGAGGCAAGCTCTTAGCAACTAAGTCAGGGGACTCCATCATCCGTTCCAAGCTCCACCTCAACTGTGTAACTCCCCAATTGTCCTCCCAGCAAAATCCTTGCCATCATGCACGGTTGGCCCCGCTTCCCTCCATTTGGATGGAGTATCTCCAGAAAAAAAAGGCTCTTTTTAGAACCCCCTTTGCCTTTGAGTGGCTATATGTTTACAAGTCAAAAGAGATGCGGCTGATGGCTGTGCGGCAAAAATCATCGCAACTTCACCAAGGCTCCCCGCAAGCATTGGAGCGCTACTTCTTCTCCTACTGCCCTACTACCACGCACGTCGTGGAGCCGAAAACTTGAAGCTAGTGAAGAGTTCATGGCGATTTCCTATTTTTATTTGTTCATCTTCGTCCAAGGCGTTCACGGAAATGGGAATGGACAAATGGAAAATAGCTAATCTTCTTTCTTGAGACCTTCAGACCTTTCTACCTTTCGTTCTTTCTTTTTTCATTCTCTTCCGCAGCCTTCCATCTGTTTTTCGGGCAACTGTTGCCACTCGGACGCCGAAGGACCGCTCGGTGGGTCATCGAGTCTAAGAGACAACATGTTTGAGCGGCATTTGGGTCGCGGATCCTGCGGATCCTACGGATCCTGCGGATCCTTCGGATAGAGAATCCAACTAAGCTGAGCCAACACCAACATGAGCATGATCAAACCATGTCAGGAAGACTCCGAACTTTGTCACGGAAAAACCCACGAGCTGTTCTGCGCTGAAGTTCTGTCTAGTTGCCGTTGTCACGAGTGGCCATCCTGCTTTGGTCACCCCGGGCATCATGAGAACCCAAGCAGCAATACAAAGGTCAGAATGCAAAAGAAAAAGGGACGGAGCAATCAGACCAATGACCCCTCTTTCTTCTCACCTGAGTTGGATAAATTTGGCTGTTCACCTCAGCAAGTACATTCATTTGAACTCAATCATACCTCCACGATGCTACTGGTTGAAGGGATGCATAGTTTTTCAGGATCCATGCATTGTTCCATTCTAAATGTGTTTTTCTGAACAATCTTTCTGAATCTTACCATGGCGAAGCAACACCTCGCATCTGCGCCATCTCTTTTGCACCGCTGCCGCATGCTCACGTGTGCCCCGTCTATGCCAGCTCCAGACTGGCCTGATTGATGCCTCGCCGGGGCCGTCCATGTCGGACATCCCACAGTCTTCCCACAGTCTTCCCACCGTGTCACACGAGGGCTATCGAACTGCTTGTCAAACAGGCTCAGGCTGCAGGTTGGCATCTCGTGACGGTGTCTCTCAGCGTGGTCAAGAGATGTCAAGACTGGGTGTGTGTTCTTTCATTTCTCTTAGAGTCTCAATTTGAGCGGATTTCACCGCATTCCTTCGGGTTCTTCGTTGCAACCTTCGGTCGAACGAATCACGTTTGAACTCGCAGCGCTGACTGCTGGGAGGCCGGGCCGAAGTAGTTCCACTCCTGGGGCTGCTTCATCTCGATCTGCGCTCTCGGGGCGCAAAGCCAGAACGGCCCAGCGTCATTTCTCATAGCAATAAGAAGCGGAGAGAAGGGATGAGATTTGTTTGCTCGACTCAAAACCATAGCAATTTGTTCAAGGTCGGGTTTAAGTCTATAGTTCTTTCTGATTCAGGTTTGCAGGAAAAGGCTTCTTAAAGAACAATGCTCTCTGATTGCGTGGATCCTTGCACAAAGGCATAGGAGACACTTGTAAAAAGTGAGTAAAAGCTGAATGGACAGGGTGCGTGCAGAAAAAAGTGTCCTTCGACTTTCCTTGCTAAAAACCGATGTCACCCGATTGCACCTCTTGTTGAATACAAGCAGACTATCTACGCTCCAGTGACTGCCAGCAAAGTAGATGAGCTTGCCGGCAAAGGAATGGAGGCCATCGCTGGTAGATTGGAGGACTTATCATGTGATCATCGGTGCCAAGTCTTCACGCATGTTGACTCTTTGACGAACCTCACCGCCGATCCCCGTCTCAATCGCCAAACACTGAGGGCGATCCCGCCTTGATCTGCATGCTATTGCGAGGTCGGTCGAAGACCATATCCTCCGGGTCAAAGTGGAAGGAGGCCATGGAAAACTAGTTCAGTTTCCGAACCAAATCATTAGTGCGAGCGCTTCCTTGAAGAAGCTACAGAAATATCCTGCGTTCTAAGTAGCTACAGAAGCAGGTAGCTACCTCTGCTACTAGCTACCTAGCTACTAGGAACAAGTGCATCGCTTCTAGTAACAGGTGCCTTACTAGTAGTAACAAGAAGCTATTAGAATTAAAACAAAATTGCTTCTTGTTACTACTAGTAAGGCACCTGTTACTAGAAGCGATGCACTTGTTCCTAGTAGCTTCTTGTTACTACTAGCTACCTAGCTAGCCTCGGAGGAACGGTATTTCTGGTGTCTCGGTGTCAAACGAACGAAGCGAAGAGATTTGATCGAAACGAAAAACCCACAGTCATGAAGTCACTGAAGTCGATGGTCTCAGTAACAGGTGCCACGCTAGTAGTGACAGGTGCCTTACTAGTAGTAACAATGTTCGCTACTAGGAACAAGTGCCTTACTACTAACAATAAGAATTATGTTCTTCTTCCTCTCTTTCCCTGCCCTCTTCCTAGCCTTAGAAATAGCCATGTGATGGTGAAAAGGACTTCTTCTCGCTCAGCAGTCCTATCGACCCAGAAAAGCAACCTGCGACCCCAGAAGACCTGAAGGCAAACTAGGACTTCCCACTGGTGGTCCAAAACGAACCGGCAAAAAAACATGTATATATATATATATATTTCAATATAAATATTCTATGATTTACTTCTTTGCACAGAGTTTTCAAAACCCAGAACCTCCAAAAAGGCAAACTCATTTCATCTAAACTTTGTGAAATGGTCCCTTGCCATTTTCCTCTACATTTCAGGGAGTGTACCATCAATTATGAAAAAATAACATATCCCCACTCAGCTGGTACCCCACCGTGCACTCCCAACAAACCGAGCATTTCGATCAGATCTACATGAGGCACCCTCTTTCACTTCGGTGATGGTCTCCAATCTACTAGCGATGGCCTCCAACCTAAAAGCGATGTTCTCATGTTCATAGGGCACTGTTCTTCTGTTGCTAGTAATTACAATTCTAATTAAATTCTTATTGTTACTAGTAGTAAGGCACTTGTTTCTAATAGGAAAAATTGTTACTACTAGTAAGGCACTTGTTACTACTAGCGTGGCACTTGTTCCTGTTTCGCCCAAAGGGCATGTCTTGGGTTTCCATCGCCTCTTGGAATGAAACCCCGCCATCTTTGGAGGAGTGCCAGGGAACGGCCTAGGCGTCGAGAAAGCACGGCGGGGATGGGGAGGTGAAGTCCGGAGAGACTTGCAAAGGAGAGGTCTTCCTTGAAACCTGAATGATCAGAAAAAGAATGAATCGTGTTTGCTTCCAGGAAGGACCAAGAAGCACTTGGGAGGTACGTGGTACTTAAGCTCCCCAAGATGAGTTGGTCCAGGTAGTTGAAGATTGGACTCCCTGCGGCGGACGAAACGCCCAGCTGGACCACTAAACGAACCGTGGGGGAGACGTTCAAGTCGGGAGACGTCGACGAGACGGTCCCGCCGTCGTGTCAGATCCTTTTTGAATGTCCCGTTTCCCCTTCCAGAGGAGTCGGACATATTGAAGGGAAACGGCGTCTGTCCTACTAGTAGCAAGGCGCTTTACTAGTAGTAACAAGCTACTAGTAGTAAGGCACCTTGCTACTAGTAGCTTCTTAAACCAAAAACAATTACCATCAATTACGCATCCTTAGTAGGTTGGAGGCCAGCGCTATTAGGTCACAGTGAGCCAAAAACAGGAAGGGCAAACAATTACACTATTTCTATTAAAGATGTGTGCACTGGCCCCTGGTAATAGGATATACCCATCATATACCTCCCAGCTGGAGAAACCACCAAAAAAAGAATGACCGATGCAGTCAACCGACAACTGAATCTCTCTGTGCGAATGATCCCCCGCTTCGCTCGCTCTTTTTCGGCAGCGCATGGCCGTCATTCGAAGGGCTTGTGGACCTCACAGGATCTGCGTTCGAGCCATCCGCTCTAACCGAGGCAGTCCGGATCGGCATGCGTGGTTGTGTGGTACTGGGCACAAAACATGAAGGGTCGGATAGGCTTGACATCAGCACCCGGAACAGCCTGGAATTCCGAACTTTGCAGAAACAAATGGATGTTTCCCCAAACAACCACTTCTTATGTAAAGGATCCCGTTTGCAAATCTCTAGCCCTTCCATGGCTGTCGTTTTCGCTGACAGGTGGAGTCAACCTCTAGAGGATTCCCTGAAGATCGGCTTGCCGACGCATCTTGCCGGGCTCTTGGCACTTTCAACATGGTGAGCAGGTACAGCTGATGAGAAATGAGACAAACATCCCGTCACCAAAGGTGAGCCGTCCCGTCACTTCTGAGCAATCCCAAAACCAAATGGAGTGTGCAACATCAAGCAAGTTGAGATGTAGCTGTGAAAAAAAACATGGGCAACGCATGTGGTGAGTGTGTGCAAGTAAACTCCTTGAAAAAGGCTGCCAGTGTGGGTCAGTGACAGGCTCAGTGGCTTGACGAATGCAAATCAAAGTGTGAACAACAACTACAACTGAAGCTCTTGGGTTTGTCTCACAGACTTACGGCTCACTTGAATGGTTCACAACTGGAAACACAGCACCCGATTGAGCCACCCCAGTCGTAGGCCTGCTGCCAGGGCTGAAAGACGGCATCGTAGGTCGCATCCTGTGGAGCTCTTAGTAGCGTCGCTACTAGGAACAAAGGGCATCGCTACTAGTAGCAAGAAGCTACTAGTGGCTCCTGGCCATACTACTAGGAGCAATTAAATAGCTACTAGTAGCGTCCGATCGCTCCTAGTAGCGATGCCAGGAGCCCCTAGTAGCGTTCTTGCTCTTAAGCTGAAGATCTGAAAGATGGCAGGATATTTGTTGTGTTCTGATCTGAGTTTACAAAGTTACCATGTTTCTTGCACCTATGTGCTTTTTCATTGTTTTTGCGTGTTGACAGCATCGCGTCTCGTTGCGAAGAACAACGAGACCAATCTTCCTTCGATGTCGAACATGTGCAATTTGCAAAATAGACGAATACGTTTTCCAAGACACGTTGGATCTTCTTTTGCCATGCACGTTTTCATACTTTTAACTTTCAACCTGAAAACAACGAGGACTCGGGGATCTACTCTTGACAACCTTCTCCATGTTGGCAAACGACGTCGTCCTGAATGCCCTGGATCCATCGGCGCCGCCACTGGGGCGGGTAATGCCTCCAGCTGCGAAACTGAGGGGCATGACAACATGTTGAGGGAATCTGGGAAGCAACATGAAAGACTTTTGTCACATCCGTGGCCATGTGGACTTTGCGTATTGTTCTCTGTAGCACTGTAGATCATGGTGTTTTGCGTGTGTGATGGGGGGTGCTGAGCCTAAGCAGTATTCAGTCCAGCCAAAATCCCACCAGCAGACTGCTCAGCCAAGCATCTGATATGACATCCGCGCGTGAATACACCAGCGTTCGCTGTGCTCTTCCTCAGCGCAAGCCAGAGTGATGAGAAACCCTGATACCTGCATGTCTTTCGAAGGACCAGCGTTCTTGCTTCTAGTGTTCTTGCAAGGACTACGTAGGAACAACCAAAACTCATGTAAGAAATAGCAAAGAAAAAACATATCAAAACAATTGAGTCTAAAGGTCCAAAAAAGAAAGGAAGAAAAACCACCCATTGAACAACACCTCTCATTGGTTGTCTTTTTTGCTCAGGGGTGGTGCAAGATTGGAGGCCATGGCGCTCGTGGCACAGTTCTCGTGAGTGATCTGAAATGTGTGCTTCGAAAGAACATCCAGACAACCTAATAGCAATGGCCACCAACCTACATGGGTTGTTGGCATATGGTTGCAATCATAGTTGTGGGAGATTGATGTGCCCTTCTGCAGGGCTGCATTCGCCAAGACGAGACGACGAGGGGATCAGAGGGACCAGAAAACCAGGAGCCGCTAGTAGCTTCTTGTTACTAGTAGTAAGAATGCTCCGTTCGTAGCGATGCCAGGAGCCCCTAGTAGCGTCCTTGCTCCTAGTAGTAAGGCCAGGAGCCCCTAGTAGCTTCTTGCTCCTAGTAGCGATGCCCTCTGTTCAAAATCATCCTGTTCCTTTTTGTGATACTGTTCTTGTTCTTTTTACATGCCCAGCCAAAGTGGATGGCACTGCACCACTCCTGGTCTGATTTGAAGAATATAACGGCTGATCCGCGTAAGGCGTAAGAGCTTTGTTGCGGTCGAGGCTCCACCACATCAAATTGCAGTGGCTGATGTAGCCACTCCTCAGATGTTGTGGACATGTTTACTCCGAAAAAGCTCTTGGACATGCAATGTTTCAAAAGGATAACACATGACAGTTAATGCACACGTTACAATCCAGGGCCACCCAAATTTGCCGGATTGTTTTTGGATGAGCAATACATCTTCGTTTATAAACCAGCCTTTGGATGCTGGATCTGACAACTCATGTTCTATACATCTGGACGACAGGTTTGTAATCGCTTGGTCCCGCTCAAGGACACATTTTGACACTCGACATGGACTCAGGTCGAGCACCCAAAATGACACCTATCCAATTTGTTTTATCTTTCAAAAGCAAAAACCTCTTAGACTTCGACTCGGAACTTCTGGAGCCAACCAACCTCTTGGCACCGAGGGACAGCGAACCAAGCCGATGCCCAAAACGTTCAAAAAAACCACGCCCATTCGACTCGAATGCTCAAAAAGTTACGTTGACATACGTTAATGAGGAGTCATGACCAAACACTGGGAATTGTTTTGAGCTCCTGAGTTCTCCAAGCAATTTCCTTGCACTGCCTTTCAACCGTCGCTACTAGGGGCTCCTGGCCTCGCTACTAGGAGCAAGGAAGCTACTAGGGGCTCAACTCGTTCCAAAAAAGGATGCCCTGCCGTCGCGTCCACATGGGTTTCCCACACCCCACCGCGGAAACGGCCGTCCAAGAGGCCCATTGGTTCCAATTGGCTCGGTAGGGACTTCGCCTCGGATGTCCGAAACATCTTCGGGTCTCGGTCGACGTTCTTCGGAAGAAGGCGTTCATTGGAAGGTTGGAGGCCACCGCTAGAATTTCACACCTCTTTCCCCTCGATTTAAGAGCAGCGCTTTTTTCTTTTTTCACCGGGGACATCCTTTTGTGTCAGGCGGTTCAGATCGTCTTCGTGTCCCTCGACGTCCAAAGCAACGCCTGTTTTTGCAACGGTCGTCGACGGTCCGTTAGCGAAAACCGCACGGTCCGTCGCCGGGCTAGTAGCGTCCTTGCAACTAGTAACAGGTGCATCGCTAGTAGTAACAAGTGCCTTACTAGTAGTAACAAGAAGCTGTTAGAATTAAATTTGAATTAGTAAGAATGCTACTAGTAGCGATGCCAGGAGAGCCCCGTTCGTAGCGTCCGATCGTTCGTAGCTTCTTGTTCCTAGTCGCCGGAATAATCAACTGAGGCAAAAGAATGAAAGAAGCAAACGCCACAACGCGACTTGATGGGACTGGCATCTTTATCCCAGTGGTGGTTGATTTCAGGGCATCACTCTTCCAGATCGATGTAGCTCGCTGCATGGTTCATGGGCTTCTGTAGCTTCTCCCGGCGGGTTCCACCGAGGATCCAAAAGGCCTCTGGCACTTGCACAAAGCCCGCCTCGAAGAGGTGAAGTTCAAAAGTAAAGCCCGTTCGTAGCGATGCCAGGAGCCCCTAGTAGTGTCCTTGTTCCTAGTAGCGATGCACAGAAGCTACTAGTAGCTTCTAGCTACGAATAGCGATGCACCTGTTACTAGTCGCGATGCACTTGTGGTCAGTGGCCGAACCTTCACCGGACCCAGAATGTAGACTGATGAATCACTTCTCCTCACTGACAGGCCTGGGGTTTTATTGGGGGTGAATTACCAGGCTACATGACTCTCAGTCTTGCCACCAAGTCCTAGTTGTGTATCAGCCCAACGGGTGTCAGCGACCAACTCTCACCATTCCAGCTTCCGAGAGCAGAGCCCAATATGGTCTTCGAGAGAAGTGTGAGCGCGCTGTTTCTGCGTACCAGGTTGGCAAAATGCATGTTTTGACGTATGTCAGTAAGTGTTCTTTTCTTCTTCCACTTTGGATTTGGAGGTGTCACATCACCTCCAGCACCATCTAAAGGTTAAAGCAAATGCAAAACCATTCCATGCTGCATACATAGCTCCCAAAGGAATGTTCCATGGCTTCGCAAGCCTCGCTTCTGACTACACACAAGCGGCAAGCCAGAAATCAGAACCACATGTCTCCATCACTGTGGATAAATTGAATTGGTTTCAAGCCATCCAAAACCATCCAACTCCAAGCTGCACCGCCCACACTCCTCCTCCCCCTCACAACCAAACACCCCGTCACAACCAAACGCCATGCCGTCCAAATTGTCAATGGCCCACATGACGAACGATTGAAAAAAAAACTCGTAGCTATAGAAGCTACTAGTAGCAAGTGCATCGCTGCTAGCAGCTAGAAGCTACTAGGGGCGCTCCTGGCATTACTACTAGGAGCAAGGACGCTACTAGGGGCTCCTGGCACTAGTAACAAGGGCCTTACTACTAGGAACAAGGAAGCTACGAACGTAACAAGGGCAAAACCGCTCCCACGGCCACCAGTCGATCGTCGATCGCCGCGTCGCACCGTGGAGAGTGCCCGTGGATCCCTCAGGTCGAAGTTCACCACCGTCCGTTCCGCTTTTCCTCGGTGAAAGCATGTTGCTCGCTAGTAGTAACAGGTGCATCGCTAGTAGTAACAAGTGCCTTACTAGTAGTAACAAGATGCGAATAGAATTAAATTAGAATTAGTAAGAATGCTCCGGTCGTAGCGATGCCCTTTGCTCCTAGTAAGGCCAGGAGCCCCTAGGAGCGTCCTTGATCGAAAGCTTCCGGAGAAAACCCACTTGGACTTAAAGATTCTTTTCTGTTGTTTTTTAAAGGATTTTTCCTCCTCAAGAAGGGTATGAAACCAACACGGAAACCGACAGAATACTGATTTTTCCTTGTCAATTTCACTCAACCTTCTTTCAACCAACAATGCGGTGTTTAAATTTGACTTGTTTGGTTCAGGAGTGCAGCACTCAATGTGAAGAGCTAAATGGACCCGGCTTGCAATGTTGGAAAGACATAGAGTCTTGACCACCGGAGATTGCCACTTGTCAGACAGCAGAATATCTGCTCTGCCATGCTTTGAAGCATGACCTCACCATCCTCTACCAACTCCTCAACTCAAAAAAACACTAGGGGCTCCTGGCATCGCTACTAGGAGCAAGGACGCTACTAGGGTCTCCTGGCCTTACTACTAGGAACAAGAAGCTACTAGGGGCTCCTGGCACAATCACAAAACACATGAAAACACCAAGTCTCGCAAGGGGTTGAAGACCTTCCACCTCCGCAGCCGCAGCACATCGTAGACCTCCAGCAGCAGCTGCAGCACCGTGCCGTCCCAGGGCGCGGCCACCGACACGTCGCGCCAGTCGGCGAAGAGGCCCACCATGCCTCGGTCACGAGCTCGAAAAGGATGCCTTCGAAGGGATGGGATCGATTGGGGGCGAAATGGATTTGTTCTACTTGAACCTTTCAATCCTTTTTCTTGGTGAACGGTCACAAGATCAAGGACTGTAAAAGGTCACTGGCATGGGGCCTCACAGAAGGCTGGGGAGACTCGTAGAGCGGAGCGTTGATGTGTTTTGGGGAACGAGTTGAGCTGGATTGGACGTTTTGGTAAACTCAAAACACCAGCTTCGGACTTCGGAGTGGAGAACAAGAACTTGCACTGGCAAAGGCAAGCAAATGGGTTTTCTCATCGGTCTATCTTGGAGGTCTGGGGATTCTTCACAGCTTTGGGTTTGACGTCTCGGGTCCATCGGCCCACAGATGGCGAAATCCCGTTGGAAGTAGATCCTGATCTTGGGAACCAAAAAAGGCCGTCCGGCCGCTCCGTTCGTAGCGATGCCCTTTGCTCCTAGTAGCGAACATTGCTCCTAGTAGTAAGGCCAGGAGCCCCTAGTAGCATTCTTGCTACTAGTTGTTGCACACAATTTGTTCGAGGATGTGTTCGAGGGGCAGTGCCCGCCACTTGTGCAGGACGCAGTTCTTCTGGCAGTGCCCGTCACTTAGCGTCCTTCAACAAACATCAACAAATACTCCAGGCCAAGGCTCTGGCATCCCGTAAAGTGGAAAAAAACAACGAGAGAGGAAGACGATGTTCTTCCAAAAACGATTCTTTTCCACTTCTATTTAGACATCCACCTCCGGTTCCTACTGGCACCTTGAAACCAACTCTTGAGATCAGCCAAAGCTCCAGCTTCCATTCCATCGCGCATCGGTACATAAAGCCTCAATGTGGACCACCGTGGCATTTGTGCTAGGCCATCGCTCTTAGGTAACAAGAAAATCCGTTCCAATCACCTGTTTCTAGTAGCTATACTTGCTCCTAGTAGTAAGGCCAGGAGCCCCTAGTAGCGTCCTTGTTACTACTAGTAAGGCACTTGTTACTAGAAGCGATGCACTTGTTTCTAGTAGCGTCCTTGTTCCTAGTAGTAAGGCCAGGAGCCCCTAGTAGCTTCCTTGCTCCTAGTAGCGATGCCCTTAGCTCCTAGTAGCTTCTTGTTACTAGTAGCTCTTAGGTAACGAGAAAATCTTAAAGAAACAGCTCCGTTCCAATCACCTGTCGCAGTTCTCAGCGATCGATTTTGGCCGTTTCAGGTGCAACTCAACCCCAGAGCCACTTTTGTGTTTTCTCTCTGAACCTGTCCCAGTCGAGTTGAACACCACTTCAGGTGGCTTCTCCAAAAAAACGAAAGGGTTGTTTTAGTGCTCCAAGTGGTGACAATGGATTTGTCTGACACACCCCACAGTATGACCAGGTTTCGTCCAAAACCGCACAACTAAAAGCTGCTCAGTCCGACTCAGACTGGAGAACTCGAAGAGTCCCCTTCAACGGGAGGAGAACAAGTTCAGTGCTGTGCTTTAAATCGCTTGGCTTCGCAGCTTCGGGTGCCACCCGCTTTGGTCTTCTCGTTGAGCTTTGGTCTTCTCACACGAAAAGACATTTTTTTTGGATTGAACGAGTGGAATCGTGCAAAGTAGCGATGCACTTGTTTCTAGTAGCGTCCTTGTTCCTAGTAGTAAGGCCAGGAGCCCCTAGTAGCTTCCTTGCTCCTAGTAGCGATGCCCTTAGCTCCTAGTAGCTTCCTGTTACTAGTAGCAAAGTGAAGACGTTTCAATTTTTTGTTTGACCTGTTTGAGAAACAAACTCGGACCGCCATGGACCGCGGACCCCTTCAGCGACACGACACGTCAAGTCCACCTCCATCTCGTGAGAGGCCCTCGCTTTGGCTGCAATCCTCAGGGCCGTCAGATCCACTTTTTACGAATGAGTCAAATGTTAATGACAAAGTCCCTTCCGTGTTGCGCGAGGTCTTTTCATGACATCTATTTCGTTAGGCTCTTCCCGCGAAGTGGAGGGTATGTCTTGTTGCAGTTCTTTCTTGCTTGCATTTAATTTGACGAATTCATAAGAATTCGCTCTCGTTACTACGTAGAAGCCACTTTCAACACCAGGTGGATACTGGTGGATACGCTTTTCCTGCTATCCTGCACGAGTAGTGACACTACTAGCGATGGCCTCCACCCGGTTCAACATTTGACACACACATACACACACACACACATCTACCTTCACCTTCAATTTTGCTCAAACGGTTCCGCCTTGCAACCCAAGGACGGGAAGACATTTTTACCGACTCACCCACTCCTCCGGGCCAGAGTTCTCACCTGATTTCGATCCCATCTTGCAGCTGAGGAGCACAATTGCGAGCAAGAGATAATTCATGGGGATCGAATATCTCCCCGCAATTGCCTCACGGAAAGGAAACACTTCAATTCACCTAGATGATCATAGATGTGACAAAACATGACAAAACACAGTTGGCCAATTTTGCAAATCTTTCGACCCATCTCCAACAGAGTGGCCTGGCCCATCTCGGCAGTTGAAAGGAATATGTCCGAAAATCCACAACTTGGAATGACTTATTGTTTCTACTAGCTTCTTGTTACTAGTAGTAAGGCCCTTGTTACTAGTAGCGATGCCAGGAGCCCCTAGTAGCGTCCTTGTCTCTAATTCAGACGCTACAAGTCCGGAGCGAGAAGGACGCTATGAACGGGGGCGCTCCTGGCATTGCTAGTCACACGGACGCTATCAGGTGCAACTTTCTGAGTGTATCCGAGCCTAAGAGACTCATCCAAGGGCCGCCCCTTGGCAGCCGTGATTGGGGAAAAAAACGGAGACATGTTGGAACCGAAAGGTTCACCAACCGAACTTCACCTGCAGGTGATCCACGTACTTCGGTGGGAGACCCCTGAGACCATGTGAGGCAAACCTGTAGCTTCATTTCCACGTAACTTGACCATCCAGCCTTGAGCACTGCCAAGGTCTCCCCTTCAATGGACAAGTGAGAGGAATAGCCATTGAACCATGCACTCCACAGGTTTCCTGCGCACAGCGGCATAAATACAGATAGGTGTCGGCGTCGGTCTCGGTCTGCTTTTTTGCTCTTCGGTCTCTTGGGCAATTTTTGTTTTAGGGGCTCCTCCAGAGGTAAGGCTAGGAGCAAGGACGCTACTAGGAGCTCCTGGCCTTACTACTAGGAGCAAAGGACGCTACTAGGGGCTCCTGGCCATACTACTAGGAACAAAGGGCATGACTACTAGGAGAATTCTTACTAGCAAGGACGCTACTAGGGGCTCCTGGCATCGCTACTAGTAACAAGGGCCTTACTACTAGTAACAAGAAGCTAGTAGAAACAAGTGCATCGCTACTAGGAGCAAGGACGCTACTGGGATTCTTCGCCGCTCGAACGACCACGTCAGCGCTTCTTGGGGGGCACCCGTCCTCGGAGCGAGGCGCGGCTGGGATCAGGCCCTGCCAGCAGCGTCTCCTACGGAAAAAAACAAAGGTGACCCTAGAAAGTGAGAAAGTGGAAGACGACCATGGAAAGCGAAGCTGAAGACCAAAGCTCTTTTGACTCATTGAATTCTTCTCTCTTTCTCGTTCCCTTTCTTTTCGTGATTTTTCTATCGCTCTTAGGTTTTCTTTTCTTTCTCGTTGAACACTCCTTTCTTCCGTTCTTCGCGATTGTCACCACGAAGAACGGACCTACCCGGCCCCGTCGGCGCCTCCAAGCGACGTTGCAACACGGCGAGCGCCTCGCCCGTGCCGTCGCGGGGGCCCGGCCTGGAGGGCATCGGATTCTTTTCTATTAGAAACAAGAATACTACTAGGAGCAAGAAGCTACTAGGAACAAGTGCATCGCTTCTAGTAACAAGTGCCTTACTAGTAGTAACAAGAAGCTATTAGAAACAAGAATACTTGGGTCTTCTTCTCGTCTTTCTTTCTTTCTTTTACAAGTTTTTGTTGTCTAGGTGTAGGCTCAAAAATGGACATCTGGGGGGTTGAGTGGTTAAGTGGAGAATAGAAGAGAATTCTCTTCCGGTTTAGGTCGACCTCACTATTCCTAACTTCGTGCTGAAGGACTTTTCAGGTTGACTTGAATGGGTCACCCCGATCACGACTGGCCGTCGATCTTTTCCCGCGAAGCGTCTTCAAACCTTAGGCAGGGCCAACTAAGAGAAGAATCGGATTTGGCCAGGGTTGCCTCATCATCACCCACGAATGAGACATATGAGAATTCACCCCTTTGTGCCAAAAAGGCTCTTGACAATCTTGACAGACCAAGTCCACCCCCCAAGCCAAGGAACTGCATCAACTGATCGGCCTTCTCCTGGAAGGCGGCATAGGCCGGCCGGCCGGCCCCGTGTCTCTTTCGATGGTGACGCTGTGCCCACTTTCTTGGCCTCTTTAGCCTTCAAGAAACTTCCAGCGCTTGCTTGCGCTTGCGCTAGAAGCACTCCCTGCAAAGGTGGAAAGAGTCTGGCGCTGGGCCGCTGGTACTTCCAGGCCCTTCACTGGACCTTCTGGGGAACCCAAGGTTCCAACAGTTTGAGGTTTGCCAAATATATCACTGAATCTGTCAAACAAATCCCTGAAAACACAGCCGAGCACCCCCCAAACACCCGAAAGGTAACAGCAAAGACTTCACCCCACGGGGTATAAGGCAAGCCGGGTAAGCTACGTGATTTGATACTGTGAAACGGTCATCCACCTTTCAGGGAAGCGACCCTGTTTTCTGCCTCCATTTTCTAGCTCGGCCAAGGGGACGTCGCAGAAAAGGGGACATCGCAGAGCTCCTGACTCCTTCAGCATCAAATAGTTCTAACCTTCGTTCCTAATAGCGATCATTGCTCCTAGTAGTACGGCCAGGAGCCCCTAGTAGCGCTCCCAGTAGCGATGCCCTTTGTTACTAGTAGCGTCAGGGGCCACAGCTATTCATTTTTGGTGTCCGAAGGAGTGTCCGTGGTCTGAGTAAAAAGCGTGGCGTTTGAGCTGTGAATCTGCAGATAGCTAGACGACGTAATGAGGAGTCCAAATAAAGGTGGAAAAGTCATCATGATATAGAATAAAAGGTAGCTTTTATTACCATTTTGCTTTTCCTCTTTGATATAGTATCTTGCTGTGGAGTCCCTAGTAGCTTCTTGTTCCTAGTAAATAATGGTTAACCTTTTTTCATCTAATTGTTCTTGTTTAGTAGGGAAGCCAATCAGTACCCTGGCTGGGTAGGGCTCTGGATCCACTCTCGAGCTCAAACCGTCCTGCGATGTCACGGCCTCATAGGCCTCGAACAGATCGGAGGCCAGGGGCGAGTAACAGTATCCTGAGCGAATCCCGGTCCGGTTGGGGTCCAAAATGGAAGCAGGGAGCACCAAGTTGAAGTACAAACTACAAAGGGGATATGTTAGGATGTATACCACATTCTATCACTTTCGGAGTTACTTTTAATCTGCCCGAAAAATGGATAAACCGTTTCCGTACCAACCTCCAACCAGCCCAACCGCTTCGAGGCGTCTTCGATGCGAACGACACCGCAAGCCTCGAGCTGCGACCTCAAGAGACACGAGAGTCGTCTCCTGATTTTTCCGAACGACAGAACTGACATGAATTAAATCTATACTTATACAACCCAGAACTTCCATGACTTGACGAAAATGAACTACTCCACCTGGTAGTCAATCCATCCACCACTACCAGTTTGGGGTAGTTCATTTTCGTCATTTTCCAGGACTCTCAGGGCAAGCAAAGCTCGTGGTTTTGATCACAGAGTGGACTGCCTGGGTGCCATGTCCAGTCCAGCTGCGCTGTCGGTCTCCTCTCCCAGTGCTGCTGAAGGTCCGTCGCCAAAGGCGTGATAGCATTGGATCATCACAAAGGAGAAGGTCTCCAATGAATCCTTTGCGAACTCAGCGGTGGGGTGCCATCTGAATGCGACATCACCAGCAGTTTCATTGGACTTGGGAGCTATCCATGGAGCAAGTCGGGGTGCCCTGGTCACACCACATCACATCCACGAGCCCGATGCTGGCGGCACAAATGAACCCGCTATGATGGCGAAGCCTGATGCCGCTTTTTCTAGGTCTGTAGCGCCACCTTGCACCCTCATCCTTCTACTAGTAGCTAGAAGCTACTAGGGGCTCCTGGCATCGCTACTAGGAGCAAGGACGCTACTAGGGGCTCCTGGCATTACTACTAGGAGCTAGAAGCTACTAGGAGGCCATCGCTGTTAGGTCATCCTCCCAAGTTCCATTGGCAAACGACATGGAGACATGCCCGCGTGCTCTGATTTGCGTCACACAAGTTTGCGACGCTCCGAGCATGTGGCGCTGGTCCACAAAAACACCGGGAGATGGAGCGTAAAAGCTCCTAGTAGCATCCTTGCTCCTAGTAGTAAGGCCAGGAGCCCCTAGTAGCTTCTTGTTCCTAGTAGCGAGGCTAGGAGCCCCTAGTAGCTTCTTGTTCCTAGTAGTGAGGCCAGGAGCCCCTAGTAGCTTCTCGTTCCTAGTAGCGAGGCCAGGAGCCCCTAGTAGCTTCTTGTTCCTAGTAGCGAGGCCAGGAGCCCCTAGTAGCTTCTTGTTCCTAGTAGCGAGGCCAGGAGCCCCTAGTAGCTTCTTGTTCCTAGTAGCGAGGGGAGGAGTGCCTAGTAGCATCCTTGCTCCTAGGTCCTAGTAGTAAGGCCAGGAGCCCCTAGTAGCTTCTTGTTCCTAGCTTTCGGAAAAGGTAGCTGAGAACAGATTGGTTGGGGGGAGTGTATTTGAACCGGCACGAACCGGATGGATATTTTTTCCGGGATATTTTTTCACGTTTTTTCCCCTACTGTTTTTGTTTTGCTTCTGCTGGGAGTGCTGTACAAGCACTAGGAGCAGCAGAAAGGGCAGGGGACGAAGCACCAAAGCCAGCGTGACAGTGACAAAGGGAGGGAACAGAAAAGGTATTCCACTTACTAGGGACTTCTTTGCGGTTGTCTTTAGCTTCACTGGTTTCGGGTTTCTTTGGGCTCGGTTTCTTGTCTTTAGGGTTTCTTTAGGCGTTCTTCCGGAAAAGGAGGAGAGAGGAACTACAATAGGGACTTTTCTGCGGTTGTCTTTGGGTTTCAGTGGTTTCGGGTTTCTTTGGGCTAAGCAAAGTAGAAATCCACCTTTGTGGCAGCGTCAACGCAAAGAAAATAGTAGTTGTGGTAACTGTGGTAAGACTCGTAGCGGGGTGGTCCGAGTGATAGAGGTATTGGAAATAATAGGGGTGGTGGATGGTAGTGGCAACTATTAAAAAAAGAAGCGGGAGGGGGTAGTGGTAAGTGCAAATCAAATATACAGTGGACAGCGCTGGGCTGCTTCGTTTCTTGATTGGTGTAGTTGGGTGTCAAAGCTCAAGGTGAAGGTCTTATCATCCAACTTTGTGCCGTGTCAATGCAAAGAAGATAGTCAGCAGAAGCAAAAGCAGAAGGAAAAGCAAAAAGCAAAAGCAAAAAGCAAAAGCAGAAGCAAAGGTCAAAAGCAAAAAGCAAAAGCAGAAGCAAAAAGCAAAAGCAGAAGCAAAAGCAAAAAGCAAAAGCAGTAGAGAAAACACACGAAAAACATTCCCGGAAAGAACCTGAAAAAATCCGGAAAAATAGGGGTTCCGCACGAACCGGTTAAATCTCTTCAAGCTACCAACAGCTTGAAACACCCTTAAACCTTTTCTCCTTCCAATCTTCCAACCATGTCCAACCCACCATCCTTCCCAACGGAACACCGCCACCAACGCCTCTCTTCGCCGACCCGAGCGTCGTGGCGCTGTGCGATGCGGCTGGCATGGAAGCGGTGCCACGTGCCTTGCGGCCTCGGTGCCGGCTTTGAGCGGACGGGCTCTCACGTGCCCACGAGGGGCACTGACACGGCCTTTATGTGTCTTTTCTTTTTTTGGGGAGGGTGTATGGCGAACACACAGGGCCCGGCGAAAAGAATGTATCGAGTCTAAGACATGTAAAGTCTTCGGGTCGTCTTATTAGCCATGGCCACATCAAACGAACGGGTGAGGGTTTGCTAATTGGAGAAATCCAAACATGTGCTGACCCTCTTGGCCGGGCTGTTTGGATCTGTTTGGTGTTTCTTTTTTCGGGCGCCTGGGTGCTGCCCCATGGGTAGGTCTTGATCAGTCAGCACTTAGCCTCTGGTTGCACCTGGGCCGTCCCTCAGAGGCTTCGGCTCTTTCACAGCACAAGTCATGGAACGTGACTCACCAAAGATCGATCGTTTGGCAGCGTTTCTTTAAGCTCCTGAATACATGTTTTTATGTAATTGCGACATCATTATTCACCAAATGTTCATATCTTATCATATCTTACCCTATAGCACCTCTTTTTCAGCACATACTTCAATCACTGATCTTTGAGCCTAAGATGCCTCAAGCAAAAGCAGCCCTGGAGCTCCTCGGGTGTGGGGAAGCGCAAGAAGACCTGGTCAGCTGTGGAATCGACCCAGCTGAGTTCTAGGGACGATATACTTGTTCCTAGTAGCTTCTTGTTACTACTAGTAAGGCACCTGTTACTACTAGCGATGCACTTGCTTCTACTAGCTTTCTAGGGACCGACATGTGTCGGCGTAGGTGTTCAACACCCCCGAGTTTGGCGTCGGGAAATAGACCACCCACGGGGCCAGAGGGGATGTTGAGGGTCAAAACACCTGCAACAAAACACAGTCAGACCATCCATGGGACTGGAATATCTATGCCGCCCCGGTCAGGCCTTTTCAACATCGATGTGTCATGTTGGACCTCGAAGTTTTGGAAAGCTTCAGCTTCTTGTTCGTAGTAGCGATGCACTTGTTCCTAGTAGTAAGGCAGGAGTTCGTAGCGTCCGATCGCTCCGGACTCGTAGCGATGCCCTTTGCTCCTAGAAGCGATGGCCTCCAACCTACTAGCGATGGCCTCCATATGGTTTTCCAATGTCCAGCGAGTGACATCAGTTTTCCACCCACGGCCCCCTCCACTGCTCGCCTCACCGTCCTGTTGTAGGCGCCCCTGCAGCAACCATGCGCTTGAGGCTGGATGTAGCTTGGCCGAGCGCCAGCGAATGGGGTCCACATAGACCTCACGGTGAGCGCACCTTTTTGGCGCTGTGTTTCATGTGGGAGCCATAGAAGAAAGGACCAATTACAGCAACTCACCAAAAAGAACTTTGTTCCGTCCGGACCTGGACCTGGAGAATAACCCTCACATCCTCTCACCCTGGATCCTAAAGGTCGTGAAACATGTCGGCCCGGCGGGGGAAGGGGCGTGCGATAGGGTGAGATCGGGACGATGCCCGGGGTCACAAAAACCAACCGTTTTGTCTCAAACATATCCATATTCTGTTTGCATTATTTTTTGGTTTTTAAAATGATTTGTTTAGGGTGGCTTCATTCCAAGTTTGCGTTCTCCAGAATCACTATCCGACTTGAAAGCTGATATTGGATCTTCTTGAGACTTCTCCACGAAGCAGTGCTTAGTTGTTCCAGACGGTCGAAGCAGTGAACGAGTCCAATACACGGAAGCACGGAAGCAGCTTCCAGCGCCTGAGGCACATCCGACAAATCCATCGATGGTGATGTGGATGGCAACGTGTTGGCCCCCGGAAGCTCGGATGACGCTGAAATCCATCGGAAGACCCGAGAGGTTGAGGCGGTGAACTTCATGACTTTCAAAGTAAAATCCAAAGCGATCCTGAACCTCATGGATTCGTGTTCCTACTTGGTGTCCCTCCAACCCATGCTGCCCTCTTTCAGCATCTTGGAGCCAGGACCATCCGCGGCTCGGTTTCTTTCGTCAGGGCGCCAAGTCTTCACCCTCACGAAAGATGGAGATGTGTCCACCTTCGCAGTCCTCAGGGAAGTGGGGAATTCGGTCCCCCCAAATTGATGACGTGGGGCGACCCTCAGTGGTCTTCACGGGACTTTGTTATTTTTGTTCCTATAGTTTTATGTTCGAGTTCGGTCTGGCGAAATCTCAAGCGGTTTTGGAAAAGCAGAATTGAAGCAAGCTGGTGCACCCTGACGGTTCACCATGGACGTTCACCACGAAAGCAGGTGAACCAGTTCACCATGCTTCACTTCTTTCAGAGTTGCCACCTCAAAATCCATCTCTTTCCAGCAAGATGCCCACACGCCCTCGATGGGCAAGTGCAACTGCAGAAGGATCACTTCAAACCTCGACGGAGACGCCGTCACCGACGCCGGGCCACGCGGCCGAGTGGGCTTTCCATCGGTTTCTCCGTATTTGTCATTGATTCAAGTCCTTTGGCAAGTCCTCCATATTTTGAGATCTCTTTTGGGAAGGGCTAAAGTTTGTCATATTTGGTTGAAAAGGAACACCCCCCTCTTTGGAACCTGACTTCCCACCTTTCTGCGATGTCAATGCTTCACATATAGCAATACAGCAAGAATGAGAGCGATTGAGACTGCTTGACCCTTCTCAAAATTGAATACCACGCGATAAACAAGATTCACGCGAGCTAAGAGCCTAATAAGTCTACTGGCTACATGCGGCATGGCTCGACCCAAGTAGATCATCTTTTCTCTTCCAGGGTTCACCTGGGTTCAGCCACAAGACATCACAAGACCTTCTTAGAGTTGCTGGCAACCTACTAGCAATGGCCTTCAACCTACTAGCAATGGCCTTCAAATGGTATTTAGTACAACGACGTGAGATGGTACACAAGGCCAATCGATTCACCCTGCTGGTTTTTTCATCCCGTGCCAGGTGGCGGTGGACACATCGTTCGACTGTGCATCTTCTTCTCCAACTCTTGCTGACCTCCTACGGCACCGAGGTCGGTCGATGCATCGTCAGAATCAGTGCAAAACTCGGTCTGCTGCTGAGGTCTTTGGTGCTCTTATTAATGTAGTTTTCCTTGTCACTAAGAGTGATGGCCTCCAACCTGGTAGTCTTGAAACTGCTCTTATTTTGCAGGTAATTTTGCTATGCGCAGGTACTATGGGCCTGTATTTCGGGTCAAAATCATGCACCTATCGTTTTGATGTACAATAAGGAAAGTCCTCATCTCCCAAGTCCGAACATGAACCAAACCAACAGACCACCTCACCAACAGCATCTTTCACCAATCCCAATCTCAACCAGCCAACAGCACTAGGAGCAAATAGCTATTAGAAAGAAGAAGCTATTAGAGGCTCCTGGCATCGCTACTAGGAGCAAGTAGCTATTAGAAACAAGAAGCTACTAGGGGCTCCTGGCATCGCTACTAGGAGCAAGTAGCTATTAGAAACAAGAAACTACTAGGGGCTCCTGGCATCGCTACTAGGAGCAAGTAGTTATCAGAAACAAGAAGCTACTAGGGGCTCCTAGCATCGCTACTAGGAGCAAGTAGCTATTAGAAACAAGAAGCTACTACGGGCTCCTGGCATCGCTACCAGGAGCAAATCGCTATTAGAAACAAGAAGCTACTAGGGGCTCCTAGCATCGCTACTAGGAGCAAGTAGCTATTAGAAACAAGAAACTACTAGGGGCTCTTGGCATCGCTACTAGGAGTAAGTAGCTATTAGAAACCAGCAGCTACTAGGGGCTCCTGGCATCGCTACTAGGAGCAAGTAGCTATTAGAAACAAGAAGCTACTAGGGGCTCCTGGCATCGCTACTAGGAGCAAGTAGCTATTAGAAAC